GCAAGCGGTTTGGAGGCAGCAACCAGCTTGCACTGCATGATCATCGGGAGGCTGACGATCAGTCCTATGCGGATGATCTGCCTCTAGATGACGATCTAGAGCCRGACTCCGATACGSGCTGTTYCACATCAGCCATTGAGTGTGACCGAAATGATGATGAAAAACTTAATGCATTTAGAAAGACTGCTTCAAATAAGGGGCCTAACCGTGGTTCGGGTAAGGGAACTGTCTTACACCTTCCCAAAAATGTTAAGATCCCTGAGAAACCGGAGGACGCTTCTACCAAGCCTTGGGAAGCCCTCCGCATCAGCCAAAAAGAATGGGAAAGAAGGTCCAAACTGCGCGTATGCTTGCATTGTTCAAAGCCTGGGCATGCTGTGCAGGATTACTATCGTCTTCAGGGAAACAGGCAAGGGGCGTAGAGAAAACATTAACACTCTCTACAACAAGAGAAGCTGAGCAGTCAGTTGCAGGCCCCTCCGAGGAGCCTGAATCTGATCAGCAGCGTGCTCTTGAAGCCCGAACTAACGCTGATTCCAAGGCTGAGACAGTCCGAGTGTTATACACTGAGCCTTGGGAGGAGTCTAAAGAGGTCGACCTCCACGCCCACATGGAGCATTGGCCGCAGCTCAAGCAGCAACGCTGTGTCCAAGGGAGCGTGGAGCTGACTTTCTTTAAACTGCTCATGAACCGCCGATACATCCGCGTGCTGATTGACAGTGGTTCGACCACTAACTTCTTCTCTCCGAACGGGATTCGTAAGGCGGGCCTGAGTATGAAGCAAGTGGAACTGCAGAACCCTTGCCGGACTCAGGTGGGCAACCAAGAGGTTGTCACTTCCACTCATGCTGTCAAAGGTGTGCGCATCGCCTTTGACAAAGACCGCACTGTCACACACGAGCTGAATTTCTATGTCTTGGATAAGTGTCCTTTCGACGCGGTCATTGGCTTGGGCTGGCTAAAAGCTCATTGCCTAAGGACCATGTGGGCGAACAATCAGTTCGTGGTACTTGATGCCAAGCGGAACGAGCGTACCGTCTTACTAGATGAGACGCGCGAGTCCCCTGTGACTCTTCTAAGTGCTAACAAATTCTGCAGATCAGTGCGCAGGCGCAAGGAGGCTGGGTTTGTACATATAGCTCTTGTAAAGCCTTTCCATGTGCCTTCTACTTTTCCTGCATTTTCTACCTCTGAAGGTAACTCTACCTCTACTACTTCTACTTCTGTTCCACCTACTTCTGCTGTAAATGATCGATCTAGTGCGGAACCAAATATTTCGAAACTGGTTGTAATTGTTGTAAATTCCCAATCTGATTTTCTCTCCCCTGATGAGAATCATCCTCCACCAGAAATCCCAGCGAACATTCGTCATCTGTTAGATCGATTTCCTGAGGTATTGGCTGAACCCCGCAGAGTTCCCGAGCGTCCAGTCAAGCACAAAATCGAGATAATAGAGGGAAGTGTTCCTCCAAAGGGCTGTGTCTACCGTATGGGACAAGGCGAGTTGGAGGAGCTACGGAGACAAATTGATGACATGATTGATCGTGGATGGATTAGGCCTAGCGAGTCTGAGTTTGGCGCACCTGTTTTGTTTGTGCCGAAGAAAGGAGGCAAACTTCGGATGTGCATTGATTATCGTGGTTTGAACCGAATCACAAGGAAGAATGCCTACCCTTTGCCTCGTATAGATGATCTGTTGGATGCGGCCGGTGGATGCAAAGTCTTCTYYRAGATCGACCTCAARTCTGGCTACCACCAGATTGAAGTTGATCCGAGCGACCAGCACAAAACTGCGTTCAAGACACGTGATGGGCTGTACRAATTCATCGYTATGCCCTTCGGCCTTACGAACGCACCAGCCACATTTYARTCYYTCATGGACRAGGTACTCCGCYACCAACTTAAYAGGTTTGTGGTTGTGTATCTTGATGRCATTCTGATTTTCAGCAAGTCCATGGAGGAGCACGTCAAGCATCTCGAGGAGGTCTTGCAAGTCCTCAAAGACGCTCAACTGCACCTCAACTTGGAGAAATCTGAGTTTGGCAGGGACAGCGTTATCTACCGTGGGCACCGGTTGTCTGCAAGCGGTCTTGAGCCGGAGGCAACCAAGGTTGTGGTCATTCGCAACTGGCCTCAACCGGCGAATGTACGCGAGCTGCGTTCTTTTCTTGGTTTGGATTCTTACTACCGGAAGTTTGTGCCTAAGTTCTCTGTCATTGCTCACCCACTCTCACGCCTGACTAGTAAGAATGTTGCCTATGGGTGGTGTGAAAAGTGTGAGACTGCGTTCCAAGCCTTGAAAGAGGCTTTGGTGAGTCATCCTGTGCTCCGCATTGCGGATCCCAACCTCACGTTCGTAGTTACTACGGACGCGAGCCAGTTTGGGATTGATGCAGTGCTGCAACAAGATGATGGCGATGGTCTGCGTCCGCTTGAATATTACAACAAACGCATGCCCAACCACAAGGTAGCCACTTCCACATACATGCGGGAGCTCTACGCCCTGCGCGAGGCGCTAACGCATTGGAAGCACTACCTCTTGGGTCGCCACTTCAAGGTCTATTCAGATCATCAGACCTTGCAATGGATTAAGACACAAACTGATCTCTCTCCAACTCTGACCCGCTGGCTGCATGACATTGATGTTTTCAAATTTGAACTAAAACATAAGAAAGGCTGCTATAATCGTGTTGYTGATGCTCTGTCGCGCCATCYCGAGTATTTGACTTGCCTTGTGGACTCGTACGACCTCCGGAGGAAACTGAAGGAGGATCTGGTCGAGCACACTGCCAAGGATCCGAACCTTAGTCCCATCCTTGAGCAGCTCAAGGATGACCCCAACAGTCAGCCTGATTTTCATGAATGCGAGGGTCTTGTGTTTCGCCGGTATGGAAAGTTTGACCGTTTGTGTGTACCCAACCATGCGCCTCTCCGAACTCACTTCTTGGATCTGGCGCACGGTCGGAGTGGACATTTTGGCTTTGAGAAGACTTATGGAAGTCTTCTGCAACAATTTGACTGGCCAGAAATGAAAGGATCTGCTTAGAAATTTATTGTTGAATGTCAAGTATGCCAAAGGATCAAGGTTCACATGCATAAGCCTTATGGCCTACTGAGACCTCTTCCCATTCCCGATGGACCCGGCAAGTCGATTTCCATCGACTTCACGAACATGGGAAAGGTAAGTGAGGCTGGGAATTCGCAAGTCATGGTCATTGTGGACCGCTTCTCCAAATTTCTGAACTTGATTCCTCTCCCTCCTCATGCCCTGACTGAACTTGTCATATAAGAATTTCATCAGCAGTACATTCTGCAGTCCGGCGTCCAGAAAACTATTGTGAGTGATCGGGACACCATATTCATCAGCAAAGATTGGAAAGACTTCACATCTCAGATCTACGACATCAAACTGAACAGGACTTCTGGTCGACACCCCGAAGCCAACGGATTGGCTGAGGAGATCAACCAGACTGTCATCCAATTGCTTCGCGCACTAATTGTTCCAGATCAGAACACGTGGGACAAGGAATTGCACAAAGTGAAGGGGCTGTACAACAACTCCATTCACTCTGCGATTGGTGTAACACCAAACCATTTGCTGTATGGATAGCCGATGCGTAATCCCCTCTCCTATCTGTTCCCTGAACGGTCACCTGGGCTGATGCCCGACATGCCTGGCTACAATGCCAAGTACGCACGCTTGCTCAAAGTTGCTACAGCAACTATGAACAAGCGCCAGCATGCCATGATCAAACATGCCAATAAGCGGCGCAAAGAAGAAAAGTTTAAAATAGGGGATTATGTTTGGGTAAAAATGTCTGAGTTTTCTGATGAAGAGGGCATATCACGGAAGCTTCTTCCACTGTACTACGGCCCTTGGCAGATTCTGAAGGTAGTCGGGGATGATTTCGGTCCTTCGTATGTGATTGACGTGCCTCCTCATCTGCGCACGTATCCAGTCTTCCATGCCTCCAAACTGTTCCCACACATTGATGATGAGACTTTTCCCTTCCGTGATCCTATGATACCTCGCCCTATTGACGGCGGCCATGAGATTGACAGAATCGTTTCTCACGAGGGGAGAGGAAGGAACAGACAGTACAAAGTTAATTTCCTCTACCACCCGTTGAACGAATTCTTCTGGATCGAACGGAAAGAACCGATAAAGAGTGCTCCACGTGTTGTGAACGCATATGAACGACAGATTGTTGACGGCCAGACCACTAAGTTTGCTGCAAAACTCACTCCGTTCGGACTCACTAACACTCTCTTTTTGATCTATGCCTATGACGCCTTCTGTGCCGACTCTGACTGAGTTACTCGCTCGAAGGGACCTCGCTCCACTCACTAACACTCTCTTTTTGATCTATGCCTATGACGCCTTCTGTGCCGACTCTGACTGAGTTACTCGCTCGAAGGGACCTCGCTCTCGAGAGGGGAGTAATGTAATGACCCGCTCAAAACACACACAAAGAACACTGCTGATTTCTGGGATTTGCCAATGGAATGAATGCCTTGCTGTGATTCCCGCATTCTGCTGTGGTCCCAAGTCTGTGTGTGTGCGTGTCTGCTGGTTTGCATGCCTGTCTGAGTGCTTGCCGGATGTGTGTGTGTGCGTGCCTGCTGGGTTGCATGCCTGTCTGAGTGCTTGCTGGTTGGGTATGTGTGTAACCCGCCAGGGTACTTGTTGGTTGCAAGGCCCACCGGGCCGGTACTTACCTGTGGTCGTGACTTTGGAGGGTTGCAGGGGGATAAACATGCCGATAGCGGGGAGTAGGCCCACGACACTTAGAGCATCTGGGGAAAAACACTCAAGTAGCAGGTAGGCCGAGCAGAAGAAGACAAAARGTTGGCATTTTTAGAGGCCCAGTGGCGGTAGGTTAGAGGTAGGCTGGTACCAGTCCGAGTAGCCCGGGTCTAGGGCCTGTGCGGACAATAACAGAGCCTGCAATGATGTTTCCCTCCAAAAGGGAGGAGGTACCAGTTGCTGGGAGGCCGCTTGGCCTAGGAAGTCACCGCCCAGGAGGCCGGTATGCCGCTATATCTTCAGGAAGAGCGATGAGCTCTTCCTCATTTGCGGTATGCAAGGATTGGCGACATGCTGCTGGAGCGCAGCGCTGGTCTGAGGCAGTGCTGCTTGGAGGTGAAGGTCTGCTGGGGCTCAGCCTGGCTATGGCGAGCACCCCAGCTTGAAGGAGGAAGAAGGGGGACATGGTAGGAGAGTGGTAGGGCACTTACCTGGCTATGGTGGACACCGTCTTCATTACCTTGTTGGGCGCTGCATCTGGAAGGCCCCAGTTGGGGTAACGCTGCACCAGGGCAGCTCGAGGCAGAGTCAGGCATAGCGGACCAAGTCAAGCAGCGACATAGCTGCTTTGAGTTGTCKTTCGGKCATCAGGGCAGCATCATAGCTGCCTTCCRGTAGTCCGCCATGGCCTATGCTTGAGAGAAGAGGTTGAAGGAGGGAAGACATAGCCATGGTGGACTTGTTGTTGTTGTTGTTGTTGTTGAGAGTTGAGTCAGCAGAAAGGGGGAACTTCGGACATTGATTCTGGTTCATCCATTCATTGTTATTATTATTATTATTGAGAGAAGAATAAGATTGGTAAAGAGAAGGAAGAAGGAGGAAGGTGGAGAGAGAAGGGGGGAATTGTCATTGGTCTTGCTGGTGTACTTCTTCTTCTTCTTCTTCTTCTTTCCTCTGATATTTTTCTCTTTGCAAGTGTTTTCATTTCTTTCGCAATTGGGTGGCATTGTCTTTCATTGTGAATTTGCACTTGGAAAATGACCAGGATCGTAACAAAAGTTAGTAAATGAGAAGTTAGTAGAGAAAAGCTTGCGCGGGGATATGGCGGAGTGAGGGAAAAATGAGTGAGAGAAAGGCATGTCTCGCTTGGTTGTGGGTGAATTTGAGCAGGGGAGAACTCGTTTTAGGGATATTTGGGCGGTGCGAACAACGTGGAGGTGTTAGTTTTACCCATAGTTTGGTGATTTGGCCGGGCTCGGTATTGGGGGCTGTGCTCGGGAAAGAAACTTTATTCTGGCAATGTATATTTCTGCGTTTTAGCAGAAGATTCATTCTGATTTTGTAAATCCTATTGATGGAAGTAGTGTGAGGCGACCCGCAGAGGAGGCTAACCTGTGGGCGGTGCGTTGCTCAATCATTAGGAATGCTATCTTCCCATCTCTCTGCACGATTAGCTCAAAGGCAATGTATGTTTTCGTGTTTGAGCGGAACATTCCTTCAATTTCGCTCTTATTAACAATAGAAGTAGCCCCCTCCCTAAATCTCTGCGTGAGCGACATTTGCATCTGACAACTCTATGGTCCATACTTACCTGGCCGGGGCGTCTCAGCGATCATGGAGGCAAACAGTAGACTGGGGGTTAAACGGAGGAGCAACCATGATCGGACTGGGATGCACACAGGGCAATCGTTAAGGAAGGGGAGAGGTTCGAGAAGAAAGAAAAGGGTAAGTACAAATTTGGGGAGACTCGTTCTCGTTTCGTACATTCGGGGAGGAGTTTAAGAGCGGGGCTGTTGAGGGCTTCTGCGTGTTCGACATACTGGCGGAATACCTCTATTCTGCCCATTTCGAAGCTCGAATCGGTGAGCTCAGTGTGGGTACGGGTCAGTGGACGTTTTAACCGTGAGGGAAGGGAACGAGGCAATGTACTTACCAGAGGAGACAAACGGTGTGGGAAGAACCAGTAGTAGAGCTACGATGCCAAGCTGGGAGATGCCGAGAAACGAGGTGCTTTGAAAGATGACCTGCTGGACACAGACTGAGACACCGTTTGAATTTTTAGTTTTTGCTCCCAGAGCTTACGCCTTACTGAGTTTCCCGTTGATGATGAGCTCTAAGTCTGTGGCAAAACTGCAACTGTCACCCCGTGTTTTCCTGTCGGTAGGACTTCCAGTTCGGACCATTGTGACCGTTCGAACGTAAAGTGGGCCGCTCAAACTGGAGGTGCGACAACAAAAAGGGGCAGCAACAGAGTTTGAAGGCTTACCCTTAACCGAGGCACTACTAAGTCCACTGAACAGAGTAACGGAAGAAAGGGAAGCTGCAGGCGGGGTGTAAACTCGGACCCTTACCTGTAGATTGGCGCGTTACTCTTTCCCGATGACTAGAAGTGGCGAGGAGAAGGCCCGCTAGCCTGCATGCTGACGTATTTGGTGGTGCGCGAAGTGGCTGGAAAAAAGAGGTCGCGATATCGCAAGCGTACTGATGGCCTGAACACTCCAGGTCCTGAGCCGGAGCTTGTTGAAAGGGAGGTCAACGAATGACGTTTTGACGTCGTTCACCTCGGCTGATCAAGCAATTGCGAGTTTAGGCCACCATTGCGGGGCCCTCAGGCGTATAAAGATTACGAGGCCCTCTTTTGGGAGTTGAGTCCCTCTCCTGTATCTCGGAAGTCTGAAATCCCTATCTTCTGCCCTTCTTACTCTCAGTCTAATCCTGGTTACGAGAGGAACGCGGCAGGTGGGATTGCAACCCGTAGGACCGCAGCAACACTCTGTGGGGAGTTTGCCCACCGATTGCGGGAACTCTGCCGGAACTCAGGAGGAGTTATGGAGGCAGGGAACTGAAAGGTAACCATTGTTTTCCCTTTATAAACCCTGTTATAACCCCTATCTGTACTCCTTGTTATGCTTTGACTGAATATACTGAGTGCACCCCTATTTTGACTTACGTTTGATTTTCAGGACAAAACTAGACTTAGTCTAAGTAAAGGAATGTATGAGCAAAGTCAGTTTCAGTTTTTGTTGTTTGACTGAAAACAGATTGTGGGGTTGCATGTGGGGGGAAGGATGGGAGAAAGGAAGTATTGCATGTGTTTGACTGGGTCAACCAAAGGCTGGGTCAGTTCCATAAGTTTGGGAAGGTCTTGTGCTATGTTCATTTTGAATTGCCTGGAGAACCAGACATGTTCCATAAGTTTGGGTGGTCTGGTTGCTCTGACTTGTGAGGACCGACTGTGGATGACTTTCAGGGGCCAATCATGTTTCATAAGTTTGGGTGGCTTGGTCGCCTTGTTTACTTTGGGTTGTTGTCAGTTTCTTTAGTTTCTGAGCGAGGAGGTCTGAGCATGTTCCATAAGTTTGGGTGACTCAACCTCTTCCTGTTTTGGTTTTGTGAGAAATGAACCAGGCTGAGGACCAAGACATGTTCCATAAGTTTGGGTGGTCTTGGTCCAACGCCACGCCCATGCAGGAACCAAAAGGCTACAATTTGACTATAGTTTATTACTATCCTACTTATAAACAGGCTAGTCAGACAGGGTTCCATAAGTTTGGGTGGTCTGACTATAGCTTATCATCAACTGAAGAGAGTACTAATTAAAAATAGACTTGTGGTACGAAGAGGCAAGCTGAATCTTGAGTTCAAGATGATCGGTTATGCTACCTCAAAAGACTAAGTACAGACAAATATATATAATTGGAATACTTAAATGATTCGGGGCGACTAGGGTGGCCTAGTCATATGCTCAAAGAAGAGAAAAGTTGGTGTGCCCTGTGTTTGTGTATACTCCATGGTTAAGCTAGACATGTTCCATAAGTTTGGGTGGTCTAGTTTTATGCCCTATGTAAGTTGGTTATAAAGGGAAGAATCATTGTGAGACTATGAACTATTGTTTGATAAGTTGATTTTTGGGAGGTGAGAGTATTTACTTATGTCGTTGTATTTTAATTGATAGGTAGTTGCTTTAGTTGCTCGCCACGTGCTAGAGCCATAGGAGCTAGTTTCAAATTCCTGCATTTTCTGAGCTAAGTTTTCTTTACTTAGATCAATTTTTGCATTTTCTAGGATTTTTTATTATACTTGGTCTTGTATAAATCTTGGTAAGCCACTTTCTCTACGGGAAGCGCTGCCGAAATTTCTGCAAATCCAAAGAGCTAGTCAAATTTTGGTTTTTTTAAGTTTTACTTGTCTAAATTTTATACATGACTTAGTAAAAATTTGGAAAGTCTCATTTTGTAAAGGGAGTATTGTCCAAATCTTTGTTAATTTAAGGAGTTAGACAAATTTGACTTTGAAAAGTCAAAGACCATTTCTCTTTTCATATTCGGGCTGATATAAATCTTGAAAAAACACTTTTCCTACGGGAAGTGATGCCGATATTTTCTTAGTTTAAGAGGAGATAAAATATATTTTGACAGGTGACGATTTTGGCAA